TTTTTATTCAGATCGTGAAAATTTGGTAACACCAGCTCAGTTCTCCCAGATTTTCAATGATGATCCAACATTAATCTGTTCATGATCTCAATAAAAAACTGGACAATCTTCATAATCCTATATTGATAATCTAATGATTGTTTAAGATTAATGAGTGATGTAATCTATGAAAATTTTACAAATCTGTAATAATAGTGATGTGATGTATGTTACTTATGTCAACAGACATAAGTGATATGTAAAAACGTCCGGAAGTGGAAAACCTGGCAGCAGAACACTAAGAAGATCAAGTTGAAGAGAATAGAAAGGAAGATAGGTAGGAATTGTGAATATGGAGAAGGATACAAAATATGAAGGACAAATGATGGAAATTTGCAAATGAAGTATTCAATGTATTGTTCTTATATTTTACCAAGACACTGTAATTTTGTATTAAGATACATTGATTGTCCCTGCCTATATTCTCGTTCATTACAGTAATAATAATAATAATAATAATAATAATAATAATAATAATAATAATAGCAACGATCTATAGACATGGAAAGTTTATTATCATCATGGTTGTGTTGAACCATTGTAAACGGTCAGATAAATAAACATCTGTTAAAGCATTGTCTAAGACTTTATAGCAAATAATTGCGAAAAAAAACACATTTTAGTAAATAATAGTCATATGTACTAACGAGCTTCAAGATAAATTCTCAAAGTTATGGTAGAAAACTGTTATCGATCAATTCAACTATGATGGTGAATTCAATCAAATAGCTGAAATTATGTTTGGAGTAAATTTCTAGATGAAATATGAATAAATTCACTTAGTATTAATTGTTTGAATCTTCCCATTGATGTTTAGGACTGCAACTAGTTAGTCTCTTATTGGCCATATGTGCATACTGTGCATATTGCCTCGATATAGCCTCAATTCACAAACACTATAAGCAAAGATGGATAGTGGCTGGCAGTGTAATCCATGACGCTCGTTTCGTCCTATTTGGGACTCGCCAGATAGATGTACCTGCATTCCAGAGTTGATATTCACTCTGGGACTCGAACGCAGTACCTTTCGCTTCAAATGCTATTGTGTTATCCACTCAGCTACTGAGTGGATAGTAATAAAACTTAACGATAGTAATAGTAATAATAATGATAATAGTGAAATTCATGCTGAAATTGTACAAATTAAATGATAATGACAGAAATAGTTGCTGTGCATTCAGATGTATAAGGGTTGATTTATTTTATAAATTTAAGGTGACAGAATTTATGTACAAATATTAAAATTATTTAGAGAAATACGTTACCTAAACTATGTTAGTTAGTCCACTAATGACACACTTTGAAACAATTCCTTGAAGTTCTAGTAAGAATTCATGATTAGTGGAATTCGGACATGATTTCAATACTCCTTAATAAATAGTACTAGATATTAATTGCGCTATATAACGAATTATTTGAAGTTGAAAATGTGTACCAGTGAATGTTAGCTTAATTCTTCTGACAGTTAAGTATACACCTCCAGCTCTAGAAGTCATAGATGCATGAGTATGTATTCACACTGATGAGGAGCTCCACACTACAGTTTAGTTCAAATGAACACCATGATTAAGTCCAATCTGTGAGGTAAACCACATAAAAATTGATAGAATTGGCAGATATACTTATATTTTGCATAAAAAACATTTATTTCTATAGAAGTTTATATAATATAAATACAAAAATATTTTTCTATATGTCATAGATATTGCTTAAATGAAAGCAAAAAGAGAACAGAAAAGAATCCATAAACTGAATGAAAGATATCGATCATGTGAAACACTAGTTTCAACCAATATAAAATCTATTTTATTTTAAATATTACAATTTTATTGACTGAGTTCATATAACCCAATATACAATTCAGATCTGTGCCGTACTCTTTCACTCTCGTTGTTGGTACCTTGAATATTAAAAAAAAAAACACTGAACTACAGTTGTTGCCAAGACACCTGCTACGATCATTTAGGATGTGTTTTTATTTCCACTTCCTCATTGAAATATTCATGGTTCACAAAACTTTTTTAATGTAAAAACTCTTATTCTACTAGAAAGAAACCCATGTTTTTTCTGGTGTTCTTATTGTTGGTGAGTAATAATAATAATGATTGAGTAGTTTCCGGTTATGTAGAAAACAGATTGTGATGGTAACAACAATGACAATAATTATACTGATACCAGTAATAATAATAATAATAGTAATAAGGTTACAACTCTATATTAAATGTTCCTCTAAGTGATTGATTGATGAAATAAATATGAATGAGATTAAATAATTTATTAAAATCATTTATTTGTATATAGTTGAAATCATGAGTCATTTGAAGCTTGACTACCATGGAAAACCTGGAAGCGCTGGACGGTCGTTTCGTCCTATTGTGGGACTCCTCAGCAGTGCGCTTCAATTGACTCATGATTTCAACTATATACAAAAAAATTACTAAAAATCTCCACAAAAAACCCAAAATCAACATTTATTTAAGAAATGACCTATCATTGATTTTGCCCTAATTTATTCGGTTAGTTCGCATAAAATTTAAAATGAGAATAAAATTGAAAAGAGGAAAAATAGAGATGAAAAAACAAAGCGAGGTATGTTTATGTTTGATCATGTATGTGTCTTTTAAGAAGGAATGAATTAGGTACCAATGAATAAACAAATAATAACCATTTTATTTAGGAATATATAAATCTGTAGTGTTATAATTTCCTTTTCATGTAATCATCTATAAAAGATTTGGTCTATATTATAAACAATGATATGATTATTGGCATTATTACTTGCACGATAATAATAAATACTACTACTACTACTACCACTCATTTGATTTGTGTGAGGGCTGAGATACTGCACAGGTGCCCAAACTGAAACAGGTAGTTTTCTTCGAGGGCCACACCCGGAGCCTTTGACCTAAAGATCTGATCCACAAGACATTGGAACATCGTGAAGAGATGCAGTCCCATGGTAGCCGGTGACCAACGGTTGACTCATACGCCATCTGTTCCTTCAGGGTACTCAAGCCCATGGTTTGAAATGAGGGTTTTCCAACTCTCCTAGGTGGACACTCCACATCCACCAACCCGGTTAGAGCACCGGACATTCGCTTTTCGTCCTCTCAATTTTGTAAACAACACCTGTGGCACGAGAAGGCAGTGAGTAGGACTTCCCTGGCGGAGGTTATATACTCGTTTCATTTGCATAGGGAGAGCGGACTCTCCCCACTCTCGGCCGTACCGTGGCATTTGGGGGCTGAAAGCCCACCAGCTCCGGCGAGGCGGATCAAATTAGATTTGTGCGGCGCATATATATCTAACGGTTCCTTGTACCAATATCTATATGTTTAAATAAATAAATAATACTACTACCACTGATATTTTTCTTTTCAGTAGTATTCATGTAAATTAAATTTTGATCTATCGTCTATTTACACAAGAACACAATCGCATGTAATTTTTTGGACGTCAATCAACATGTCACTAACATTGATTAAATCACGTGTATAATGTTTGGCAAAATATTTAATCAGTAAATATATATACATATACAACAAATAGAGTCTAACTGACAGAATAACATCTTACTATACTACTGACAATTATGATTTGTACTAATGTAAGTACTACTACTACTACTACTACTACTACTACTACTACAATAAATTATCATAAACATTCAATACAACCAAAGTACAGTAATGTAAAGTTATTAGTTTACGTCATTATCTATTTACAACTTCATTTGTAATCACTGTACTTTTTTTGTTTTTCTGCACCAGTGTACATTCAAGATAACGTTTTGATTTGTATGAAATGTTTGTGTATTTTCTGTTTATCCTTTTCTTGTCATTCTTTTTTTTAAAAAATATCTCCATTCGGTTGTGTTAAAGTCAACATTAGTTCACATGACTCTATATTTCCATTGTATACAAAAGGTTATTAAGTTATCTGTGAATCATTACCGTGTATACAAACATATATATATGGATACCAAAAAAATTAAAAGGAAGAAAGGTACAAAAAAATAACAAACAGTTGTTGTAAGGTTGATTGAAATTTTACCGGCTAGATTAAATGATGAATGTGTTAAGTTCGACTTAATCAATTCAATGAGATTAGTAAATAACATCAAGATTTATTTTTTCTTCCAATTAATCAATTGTTAATACATGTAGGTTTGTTAGGTGTTAACATAGTGAAAGTCTACATCAACAAATTTCGTGGATCGGTCGAAGTTAGACATTAACACCGTTGAATGCCGAAAAAATTAGTGGTCTAATGGTTAAGCGCTCGCGCGCGAAACTGATAGGTCATGGGTTCGAATCTCGCGAGACGGGATCGTGGATGAGCACTTCTCAGGAGTCAAACAATAGGATGAGTTGGCCGTCCAGTACTTCCAGGTTTTCCATAGTGGTCTAGCTTCAATTGATTCATGATCTCAACTATTGAAAATACCTAATGAAGATACAATTGACTATTGTAATTACATTTCTTAATCAGTAATATTTTAGTACTTTTAAAGTGATTTATGGTGATTTAGTGTAATGTTTGGGAAACCGATACATTAGTTTTTGAATACATGAATTCATTACCAAGTAATAATAATGATAATAAGTAACCAATATATCCATAATGCTTGTGAATTAAGGTAATATCGATGTAATACGCACAGTATGCACATATGCCAATAAGAGACTGACCAGTTACAGTCCTAAGCATCAATCAGAAGATTCAAACAAACAATACCAAGTGAATTCTATCTACCATCTCTCTTTGTCTCTAATCGACTTGTTTTAGTATTTATTAAACAAATAGTAATGATTTTTCAACAATTTATGTATATTAAACGGAAATTGATTTCGGAAAAAAGATGATAGTTTTGTTTTGTTTTCAGGAAATTGTACGAGAAGAAACCCCCTAGAATTACAAAAAAAACAACGACAAAGAACTAACGTTTCTTTACTTACCCCGACATTTGGTATCTTCATCAGTGGCTGCTTTTACCGATTTGATTTTTGTTTGATCAGGTGGCAATTGCCATAATTGTTCATCATCAAAATTTTCTGGTAATCCTTTTATGTATAAATTTGTTCTTGACATTTTTTCAGCTCCTGTACCCGCATTACCATTTTGATGCAGTTGTGATTGATGATGATGAGGGTGATTGTGTGTGGAATAATTGGTTTTTGAAAATTTCTTACCAAATTGATTAACACCACCTCCATCTCGATCTCCATCAATACCAGTAACACAACCACCTGTAGTACTATTACTGCTGCTATGCTGATCCGATGTCATAGTAATATCATTCATACTATTCATTGTTGTATTTACGTTTATACTAGTTTGTTTTGGATTATCGTTATTATTATTATTATTGGGACATTGAATGGATTCATTAGATAAATATCCCCTAAGACCACCATTTTGTTCAACACAATCCGCTAAATCTTTCATTGATTCTGTATGATTTTGTTCAATTGAATTAGGTGAACGCATTTTAGTCGTTTGTTGTTGTTGTTGTTGTTGTGGGCATGGATCAGGATAGATGTATGTTTCATTCGATGTTGGCATGTGCTAATGTTTAGGAGTCTTAATTAAGTAAATAAAGTAATCAGTGAAAAAATTGTTTTCGTTGTTGTTCTTCAAATAAACTTAATTCCTTTTTTTGATATTTCCAAAAATAATCTGAACCATGAAATGAAGTTCTCGAATGCAGAAAAAAAAATTCTTGAAATTTTTCTTTAGTAAAGATGTACAAATTTAAATCGTCCAATACCTAAGGATTTACTGTAGACGTATTTGTTTGTATACACGTGTATTGTGTATCCTATTTTTAAAAAAAAGTTGAATTGAATGAAATGACCTCAATTTTTGTATATCACAGTAGTTAACCTGTTTTGATGTAATTGTAATACACATTCAGCACTAGTCAATTTCCAATCTCTTACTCATAAGGTAACAACAAATAAACCATTTCCAAACGAGCACATTTTCTATACGAGAATATGATATGTTTGTCTATCTATCTATATGCTTGGCTTGAATTCACTTCTGAATCTTGTATTTAATATATATATGTAAGTTTATTTATTTATACCGTACTATTAAGATATTCATTCCATATATACACATAAACCAATACACACTATTCCAAGAGTTGTACCTGTTTTTAAATAACCATTCAAATGAGATATCCGCTATCATAAAATGAAATGAGCGATATACGGACATGTTAGAGATATAAAAGAGAGAATAGACAGGTAAATTTATATATTTGGCCTAAGCTTTATGATTTCCAGAAGAAAAAAAAATGCAATTAGTAATAATGACTATATCATGACGTACTCGTTTTTTTTCCGTTTTTTTTTCTTTCTAAACATACATACATTTGCATGTAGTTTATGTTTATATCACAGTTTCTAAGCGAACAACTAAATACTAAGATGAAACAACCATTCTTATTGGTTTATACTTTTTTTTTAGGAAATGTCACTGCATACATATACGCACTTATATTTTTTTGGTACAGTGAATATCTCCCAAAAACACAACATCTAACACATTCTATCAACAATTATATATCTATTTATTTACTTGATTACTATGTTTTATCCCAAAACAGTTATGATGATATTATGTATAATGAAGATAGAAATGATTTTTGAGGTTAATGCAAGTGTATGATTGACAGGAATTTCTTTAATGTACACCATAATGAGGTAAACAGACATATTCACATACGAATGCACATATATATGTATACATATATTCATACAAATTATGAAAATTCTAATTTGATAATTTCATATTCGATGAATTTCTTTGTTTCTACTCCTATGACTATGTCAAAAGAAACAAAATGATTAAATCAGAAGGGGTTTAGTGGAGATTTTAGTATTTTCATAGCTGAAATCATGAGTGGATTGAAGCTAGACCACCATTGAAAACCTGGAAGCACAGATTGACCGCCAACTCGCCCTATTATGGGACTCCTCAGAAGTGATCATCCACGACCTCGCCTCTCGAGATTCGAACCCAGGATCAACCAGTTTCGCGCCAGATCATTTAACCGATAAACCACTGAGCTGTTCGGCATCCAACAGTGTTAATGTCTAACCTCAACCAATCTACAAAGTTGAGCAACCGTTCATCAATTCTCTTCAGTGGTTGAACTCCACTGGTCACTGCTTTCCACTAGACCTTCAGGAAACATCTGTTGAAGGATCGTGGATACGCACTGCTGAGGTTTCCTACAATAGGACGAAACGGTCGTCCAGTGCTTCCAGGTTTTCCACAGTGGTCTAGCTTCAATCAGCTCATGATTTCAAAAATGATTAAACTCTAAAGTTATTTTACATTTTATTATGTAATATAAATATAAAACAATCTGTAGGCTATAAAATATAAAATAATTTGAGTATCGAAATAAAAAGAGAAGATACAGAATAGTGACCAATGTCATATACATTCTAGTCCCTTAAATTACTAATTCGAATGCTGATCGAATTCTAGTGATCAGGTGAAATAGTACGAAATGTAGGTTCAGAGTTTCTTGCTGACTACCTCTAACCACCTCACATTATAATATAGTGTACACGATATCAAGTCACTTAGACTAATGGTCACATAGCAACTTAATTGACAGAAATCAATCAGGACTAGATAATCATAACATTGATCATTGATCAATCAATTGTAAATATTTCTCAATTAATCGTAACTTGAATAACTCAGGAATAACGTCTCAGATTGTAAGGCTAAATGATTTGGAAACGAATTCTCGATGAATCGCTGTTTTTCTGGAGATCACAGGTACACCGTACTGAAGATTCCCGACTACCATGAAACCTAGGTTCAAGATTTCTTGTCGACTGCTTCAAACTATTTAACATACTTATTATGTATATTTTATTCATTTTTAATAATAATAACCTAATCAGATTTGAATGAAATGCAGCTTAGGTGAATTCTTTAAAACAATTAGTTCTTTAGATAAATTTCGATAGTGTAATAAGAAGACAAAGATTATTAGAATATGTACCAAAATGGTTGCAGAAACAAATAGAATCAAATGACCCAATAAGAGTATAGAATAAACATCCATCATCCTCTATCGCCAAACATATAATCGGAACAGACCATAAGATTGATCTTAATTCGGCTTTTGTGGTGTTGTATTAAAATGTAAAAGGCCATATACTCAGGTTTATTGTAGCCTTAGCCGTACGAAAATTCAAACCCTCTTTGTGTATTCAAAAATAGTTTGTTCTCACCTCAAACCTATCCTAGTAATATTAGCTTATTATCCAGAGTGATCAGGTTTCAAATTAACCTTGTCTCCTTTTACCCCCCATTTTCAGTATAGTTGACCTTTTATTTTAATATACAAATGTTCTTAACAAGTATATGTGTGATCAGGTTGTTCGAAATGTATTGCTCTCATATATATCACTTAGTTCTGATAATCTTCGTCTTCTTATTAGGTGAATTCATTAATAATCAATCACTAAACCATAACTTATCACTTGAATCGATTTATTAATATTGAAATAAAAAAATGTTACCATGACTAAAAAGAACTTACTGAGTGTTATCTCTTTGATCTTTTCCTTATTAATGCGGAATTCAGTAGAATTGTTTTGACAAGATAAAAGTAAGTTTTCATAACAAAAGTGAGTATTTTTTTCTTCGAATAATGAATAAAATTACCAACTAATAATAGCACTATTCCATTCAAACTTGCAACTATCATAAGAATAATTAAAACAGATAGTTTGATAAAGTTTTGTTCTCTGAGCTGGATGGTTTGATCATGGAGCTTTCATCGTCCTTCTATCCTAAGTTTGTGCTGATGATGTCGTTCAGAAGGAGGATGAAAGCTCCATGACCAAACCATCCAGCTCAGAGAACAAAACTCCATCAAAATCATCCATCTGAGCTACAAATCTTCTCTATCATCTTAAAACAAATAGTATTTAATGGCGAGTAGTCGGGATTCGAGTGTTAATTAATAACATTGAAATACAAGTATATTCATTTGACGTGTATTAATGCTACCATCTATTCATTCTATTTTAGTTAAAAGATAAATATAGGTCAGTCAGTCAGTCAGCTACAATGTAGGACCAGGCACATATATGCATCGGTCCAAGTTGCCATACCTCGTTAGCACAACTAATATAGGAGATAAAAGTGTGTTCACATTGATTTGTCTAATTGAAAAATTAGAATTAATTCATAATTTTAGTTATCAGAAGGGGTTTTGTGGCGATTTAGTATGTTTCATAGTTGAAAGCATGAGTCACTTGAAGCTAGACCACTATGGAAAACCTGGAAACACTGGACGGCCGTTTCGTCCTATTATGGAACTCCTCAGCAGTGCGCATTCATGAACCCGCACTCGTGAGATTCGAGACTGGTAGGTCCTGGGTTCAAATCTCGCGAGTGCGGGTTCGTGGATGCGCACTGCTGAGGAGTCTCATAATTTTAGACTGGTTAGTTATTACTGCAACTTAGAAATGTAACAAATTGAACTGTGTATACTTTATTTGTCCGAAAAATTACTCTAAATGTTCTATCAGAATCCAAATAATTACCATCGATATTAGAATATTTTAAAATATATGGATCACGTGATCTCATTGATCAGCTATCTTTTCAATCAATAAATTAGTTGCTAGGTGGCACATGCTCATCATGAATATATAATTAATATTCAAAATGAAACTGAACAAATAATTTTACTTGAAATTACTGTTTATTACAGGTTTGATCAATATAAATGATGTTTATATAAAATTTTGTCCAAAACAACAATCAATAAACAGATTGGATACATTGATTATTTATATTCAGGTGCATCCAGATAACGAGTCTCAAATAAGACGAAACATGCGCTTTCGATAACATTACTAACCAACATCCAACTCTGCTTCAAAAAATGATTGTGACTTAATGATAATATTGAGGCATCTTTACAGGATGCACATATTTCAAAAAGAGGCTGATCAATTGAGGTCTCAAAGGTCAATGAGAACATTCAGATAACTAAACAAATAAATTTAATTATCTGTCCAATAGTTTATCTGCCTTCGTCAATAGATATAGTTCTCTGTATCATTCTTTTTTTCAGATACTCGATGTCTTTTCTTTATTCAACGTCTCAATAAGTTCCTTTCTCTATTCTATCATGTGTTTATAGCCATTTCGGTCCTGACATTTTTCTTAAGAAAATTTATCGCTTTATCCATCTTTAGATCATATTTCCAAACGGATAAATCAATAAATATGGTGAATAACGATTACTGTCTTATACAAATCGATATGAATATCTATGTTCTCTATGATAAATTTCGAACAAAATTAGAACAGAACAGAATAGAAGGTTAATCGAAATTGAAAAGAAGTAGAAACAGTAGTTTTCATTCTTATTATGCATTATATATTAGTGTACAATATTACAAAGTGACAAACCAAATTGAAATAACACGATGGTCAATCCCATCAATAGTTGTTATATAAATCCAGAAGTAATACAAGACAGTTCATGTGGATAGTTATACTTCTTAATCTGACCAAATCATTCAATCTAAGATTTATTTATGCAATAAAATTCCTTAAGAAAAGTTGGATCTATTCAACCATTTAATATTCGCACTCAACTATATCCCAAATAATCAAAGTTTCAATGAATGATAATGACGATAATAAATTGGCGATGAGATTGAAGGCAGAAACTGGAGAAACAGTGAGTGATTTAAAAAATCTGATGTTATGCTAAACATATGAGATAAGAAGATTATAAACCAGAGAACTAAAATTAATATATTATTATAAGGTGATTCATAGTGATTGATCATTCAACTTTAATATCATTTACATCATGGACTGCTTCCAATTAAACCAATTAGTTACTTCCGTTAGGGAGTTCCGAAATTCTATTTGAAAAAGTCAGTAGGGGCTCAGAAAACACATGTTAAATATGGCCCCCTTCTAGCACTTTCTAGACTATCAATGTCACGTTAAATAGTGGAAATTCAATTTTTTTTCATACCTTCATCTTTTCAAACAGTTCTTTTTCATAATTCGCACCTTTTCTCTTGTATTCAAGTTACCGTGTGAATTTAGTCTGTGGTTATTAGAAGCGGCTGGGAAATATGATAGAGCATTCAATGAATAGATTTATAAGTCTCCTTCCAGTATGAGGCTCGTAATCTCAGAGGCAATCACCCATGAACATGACTGAGTTATGGCCAAAAATGTTGAGTTGACATTCCGATCATTGTGTAGGTAATCACAAACAATTGATGAAAAAGGTTTACAAAATGAAGTTATGTATTCAGTTTGAATAGAACAAAATTATAGTCAACATGTCAGTTAGAGGTTGAATATGTGTTCCTTTTTTGTAAGAAGTAATAAAAACTAAAGTGATTCTCCTGAGCACTAATTGTAATTATGTCCTACTATCCTGTAGTGTTGACCATGTTCAAAATGAAAATATGATGATTAGGTGAAAGGTTGATTATCATGGTGAACTTGGTTTAAATGTTTCAGGGCTGAAGACTACGGACTGTTAGGCCTCAGTATATCTTGATATGTTGGTTCTTATTCCCGTTGTGTAATTTATGTGATCGTAGTTGTGGTAATAATCATAATAATTACTATTATTTACTGTCATACATAAATATCTGATTATTTCCAATAACAAAACACACCAGAGATTTCACACGATTGTTGAAAGTGATATTCAAACATTTACTTTACACACTAACAAATTACAAAACAGAATTTGGCGCCGTTGAATATAGAAATTTCTTTTCATAATTTAAAGTGACCACTTACTTTATTTTATTCGTCAAATTCCATGTACCAAGAACAAACCGCGTTCGCCTTTGACTAGTTGGAAAAAACGAAACAAACTGAAGACTCTCCATTTTTTTAAAAGAAAAACAAATCCTAAGCGAGTTCAATGATTTTCAATGTAAACCATCAGTAGCTTGGGGATGTAAGAGAATGTGATAGAGGTAATATTAAGTAATGTACAAATTGGCACATTCTTAAAATCTCTTTTATGAATTCGTAGCATAGAATGAATCAATGTACTTATTATCTATTTAAATAGGTAAATTCATTAGTCCACCTAAGTTAGATCACCATTGAAAACCTGGAAGCACTAGTCTACATGTTAAGCGTTTGCGCGAGAGACTGTAGGTCCTGGGATTGAGTCCCACGTACAGGACCGTCGATGCACACTACCGAGGAGTTCCACACTGAGACGAAATGGTCGTCCAGTGAATCCAGGTTTTCGATAAAGGTCTTACTTAGATCGACTCATGTATTCAACTATTAAAATTACTACAATCTCCACAAACCCCCATTCTGAGAATAATTATCTATTGTTTAAATCGACGTATTTGCGTAGATTTATGTTTTCAAAAAATTAAGCAAAGTCAAATTATACCATATGATCCTATCTCATGGTGTAATTCGTTTATTCCGGAATAACTGACTGATTGTTTTTATGATTATTTGGCGAATATTCACTATCTTCATAATTAGTATGTATATAAATTTGATGTAATTGAATTGTTTGATTTATCATTTATCATCCAAGTATTTATTCTATATGAGATTGACATTTGTCAGTTCCGTTTATTTTGAAATAACATGAGCTGTTTGACTTTTAATGGCACTCTAAGCTGAAGTTGATTTGTGACGACTACCATCTATAAATTAAATTGGACTCCACATGTAAGGATGGCTCGTTGGCAAACTCAAAAAGCTTAGAAAGAACCGAAGACTTTCCTTCCAGTCACCGCTAGAGGAACATTCTAGAATATCGACGTGTAGCTTACCTATTGGATGATTAAGAAGGACCCTCTATGTGCTTATTGGCTGTCCGAAATGATTATTTACTTTCAGCCAAAAACTATAAATACATGAGATTTTTGTACTATATTTGACACTGTTTGGAATAATATTCCTACTTACTAGTCTTCTGTCTTCTGATTTTGCGACTTCGGAGAGTTCTAGCGTTCGAGTGATAAATTATTACGCGACATACTAAGAATCTAAGTTCAAGATATACTACCACAAAACCTCTCCTTCAATACAAACTTACTTGTGAAATAATTCGTCATCAGGGACTTCAACATCTTCGGTAATTTTTACATTTAGATACTTGTGAGATTTTGTGATCTGTATTGTGCATTTGAAATTATGATGTGTAATGAATGGTTTTCAGTTGATATTACCTTGTTATAGCACATGAATGTCTGTTTTCATCAGTTCAGTTATGAGCTTTTCGATCTCTGAAAGCATATATGTAATATACTTAGTATTAGGCTGAGTGGCAGTAGGTTGGATAGATCGAAGAGCTAAATTACACATATTGTAACTCAACTGTTGTCTAAGAAGACCATCCAAACCCTCGTGGTGATTGTTCTTGCTCACATGGTAACATTGTGTATTGCCTATGGATAGAGTTCAAATCATTTGCCTGTTAAATATCAATTCACTGGAGAACTATTGAATCTATTTCAAGTTATCAGATCACATTTATTTTGCAGCTTCTTCCACATAGTTTTGTACTAAATATTGTTCAAAATATGATCTAGAGATTTTGTATTTGTTCTATCCGTTAAAGTGATATTAAATTGATTTGACTGAGTGACGAATGATCACGGAAATCAAATTGTTGACACAATGATCTTACTCTTTTAAATACTTACTTAATTACTTACGCCTGTTACATTTCGTGGAGAAGCATAGGCCATCCACCAGCATTCCCCATCCAACTCTGTCCTGAACAATCCCTTCCAGTTCTTTTCAGTTACTATTCGTCCTTTCGATGTCTGCTTCATATTCTCGACACAGTGTGTTCTTTCACCTTCCACTTTTCCTCTTCCATTCAGGATTCCATGTTAACGCTTGCCTCATGATGCAGTGTGATGATTTCATAATTGTATGTACAATCCATCTCCAGCATATACTCCTGATTTCCTCTTCAGTTGGATTCTGATTCGTTCTTTTCCACAGTAGGTTGTTGCTGATGGTATCTGGTGAACGGACATTGAGTATCTTGAACAAACAATTGCTTATAAATATTTGTACAATTTTGATGGTAGTTGTGGTAGTTCTGAAAGTTTCAACTCAGTACAGTAGAACTGTCTTGAAGTTCGTATTGAAGATTGTGACTTTGATGTTGGTGATGATCATTACCAGGTACGAGAAATTTTCCTCAGATGTAAAAGTCTTCAGAATGAAGGTCTTCCAACTACCAGGAGACAGTTTAAATGATTTTTCTGGTAGCGCTTTTTAGCAAGTTTATTTTCTACTGGATGAGGTTGCCAACCCCATGCCTGACTCTCCACTTTCACCCGGTCTTGAGATCGTCAGTAACCTTAGATGAGTTACAGGCGAAGTTACTTTTTTAAATAGTTACAAAAAATGAACAACGATAAAAAGAAGTCATTTAATACAGACCTAACAAGTCTAGATCGGTTGGTGAACTACGCCGAGTAATACTTCAGCAATGCTAATCAAATGCAATTAATAGGAGAGGACAAAGATTATTGAGGAAAGCATGTAATTAAACATCACAGTATACATATGTATATATACAGTACAATTATGAATGGGAATGAATGTAAATTATGCTACACTACCACATTCCATGTGTTTCAATCTTACTGAAGTGAAAATGCTTACACTGATAACCGTAACTGTGGGAACACAAACAGGTAGTAATATTACTGATCTGGATCAACTTCATCAGGAAGTCATCTATCCATCTATTTCTTATTAAAAAATCAAAAAGTATAATAATACTTCATAATCGATTGCCCAGTTCCCTAGAACTAACATAGCTAAATGCAAATTGCTTTCAATCCATGCTAGAAACAAAACTCTAATGACACTGTGATAGATAATACATGTCGTCCTGAAGCCAGCAACCAGAAACACCAACCATCGTATTGTACTACCTTTGTTGTATGGATTACAAACAATCCTTTGTTCCCTATTTTTGCATTTAAACGAATTAGTTTTCACATTATTTGTCATTTAGTAACAAATTTATTCATTAGGAAATATTTTCATTATGGGGATTTGAGGAGATTGTAGTATTTTAACAGTTGAACTCACAAGTCGATTTAAGCTAGCTCACTCCTGAGAACCTGGAAGCGCTGGGCGACCGTTTCGTCCTAGTACGAGACTCCTCAGTAGTGCACATCCACGATCTCACTTAGCGGTCTAGAGGTTAAGCCTCCGCATATGAGACTTAATGTTCTTGGTTTGAATCCCGTGTGTGTGATCGTGGGTGAGCATTACTGAAAAGCACCGTACTAGGACGAAACCGCTGTTCAGTGTTTCTAAATGTTCAATAGTGGTCTGGCTTAGATCGACTCATGATTCTAACAATTAGAATGCCACATTCTCCACAAATCCCCACCCTGATAATAATCATGTGCTCACTAGTGAATAACTTCAAGAAGGATTTCTTGGAGTTCTAGTGAAAAGTCGTTACCAGTGAAGTCCAATCCGTGTCAGGCGTGAGACACTTATCCACCTCAAACTGTAGATGAAGGGTTGCACAAGATTATGAATCGATTGAAATTATACATTAACACCGTTGGATGCCGGCCGGCTGTGTGCTTTAGAGAAAGAATTTGTTGACCCTCAATACTATTCAATACATGTACATGTGAATCCAAAATATCATCATTCGAGTCAATTATGGTGTAAATGCTCTTCATTTACTAAAGAGTTGTTATTTGTAAATCCCATAATACACAAAGTGATAATCAATACTGTTGAGCAAATGAAAAATGTATAAACAGTGACTTGATTCAATTAGTAATAACATGATCAACAAGAATATTGATGGAAAATAAGTTCATAGCAAAAGTTCCATCGAACCAATCACATTTATATTTGGATTTCAGTACGGTAGAAGTTGATACATAAAATTATAAATGTAATGATTAAATTATAAAGTGGAAATTGTATGAGTATTCAGGTTACTGAAACTATATAAGTAGTATATTTAGCGAATATTGTGTGGATACAGATTGATCACAATTTGGAGGAAAAATAAACAATTGATAATGGTATAAGGTCTAATTAAGTTGGCAGTATAAAATATCAAAAGTAGTTTGAAATCTATCATAGATTTGCAAATTAGAAATTTTCGTTTAGGTAATCCAAATTTGCTTGGCATTAACGTTAAGTTGGGCCGGTTTGCTGATGTCAGTTCGTGATGAAAATTATCTATATTTTTGTAGCTGCCGGATGACCGGTGGCATATCTTATAATACAGATTATTTACTAACAGCTATGTCATTTCTTGGTGTTCAGTGATTGTGTTAGAAGTTTTGGTTTGAGTGTCAGTTGCTGAACGTTGTGCCAACATCGGTCGTTCGCAGTCAATAAAGATTTCCATTTTCTAATGATTACTCTATTGAGATAAAATTTATTGCTTATCTTTCATTGAACAGACTCCTCAAAATGTTTGTTCGGGTTATTTTAATGACAAGTCAGTATTACAGTTGTTGTGCAAGAATCAAGAAACGGAGGTTGGGTATATGCGAAAATACAAAACTCGGAGAAATTAGAAAGTTGTTTGAATGTTTTTGAAGGAAAGGGTTTGATCAAAGTTCAGCTAAACACTCACTCCTATACAAATGGCCAAGGTAGTCACATTGGTTGTACAAATTTCTATGGAGTGCAACGGTTAGGTTTATGAACATGGATTCCGATAGCTTCAGTAATATGCAATAGACGAACTCGTAAATCATGTGACAAATTTGATTGAATATGGTAGATGACCTTACAAGATATTCTATGTCTATTGAGTAAGCGAGAATAGAATTCTTTATCACTCTTAACTGTCCTATAGTTAACCAAGACGGATGGTGTTCTGCTAAGGAATGACGGGTTTTCAGAATTGTATTTTCTATACAAAATTCAGTATTCACTAAATAGTTTACTTACATATTCTGACAATAATGAAAATTTGAATAGGGATGGACTAAATAAGTAACTTCATTAATAGGATACTAAATCTTTAAACAACTCACCATATGGTTGATTTTACAACTTCTCATTAAATTCACTTCATATTGAATAATTGACAGTGTAATATTTATCAGAAGTGGGTTTTGTGGAGATTCTAGTAATTTTATAATTGAAGTGATGAGTCAATTGAAGCCAAACCACCATGGGAAACCTGGAAGCATTGGACGGCCGATTCGTCCCATTGTGTAATATTTCCCATTAGTAAGTAAATATTCGTAACAAGTCATTTGACATTGTTCGTGACTATCAATGCTCATTTGGTAATTAATAATATCATAATATCATACTGTAGTGAACGAGAACAAATTTGGGGACAATCGAATGTCTTTGAATGCAAAATTACAGAATGTCTTGATAATATCTGAGAACTATACAGTAAACACTTCATTTGCAAAATGTCAATCAATCATCTCAGACTTCATTGTTCTTTCGCTTTCACACCAATCATTCTCTGTTCTTGTTCTCCTTACACTAAACTAATATAAAGTAATAATTGAATTCCATTAAACACTATAACGATTGATTATTTCATTGATTTAATCATCAATCAAACTATTGATTGGTGCTTATAAATTATTGACTGATTGATGATTGATTTGTCAAATCATTTCACAAAATCATGTTGTCTACATGGAATGTGAACAACATTCATTTGAAAGTCATGAATTTGAATGCTACTCTGTTAACCAATATAACATTACATAACTGAACAAGGAAATCGATAAGGACATTAGAGTGAGATAGGTTATATGTTAAGAGGATTAGTAGACTATATCACAAAGCATGCCCTAACATGGAGTTCTCAAAGCAACAGGATAAGAGAGAGGACCCAATAAACACATTCCTCTGCCAATTGAAGAGAAAAATCAGGATAATGAATAGTGCTTGGTAACAACTGGGTGGGTCAAGACAGAGTTAGTTACATATCCCTAATCGGTGGCCTATCCTTCAACATGGGTGACAGGGTTCGGTAAGTGAATATAAATTTGAATAGTCACACGAAACAGTGTTTTTTTCAAAGTTGTCTTAACTCTATTAAAGATGGTGAAATGAAGAGATTGATCACTGTTTCAGAAATAATAATTACTTCATCAAAATGATAATAAGTATATATGTATTTTCATCGGAGAGTTCTGTAGTGTTAGTGATTTATTATGGTTAAACTATTGTATACTTCCTTGATGAATCAATG